TTTAAATCGAATTTCGTTTTTTATTTTTTTTTTAAATCTTAAACGAAGTCGGATTCCTAAATAAAAAACATAGGATTGTAGGGTTTGTCAAGCCCTACACCCGTATTTTTTTGTTTTTGTTTTTACGTATTTTTAGGGGTAAAAAATAAATATAAAAAAAACAGGCCGCGGAGTGGCCCTCATCGGCCGCGGCCGCGGCCGAGATTCTTGGTCGCAGCGGCCGGGGCCGAGATTCTTGGTCGCAGTGTCCGGAATGCCCGCGGCCTAGGCCGCGGGTGTCACATAGCCACCACCCATCCTGAACGCTAAACAAGGGGCGACGCTCCACTTCAATATACAACAAAGACGAAAGTCATCAAACTTGCTCACTCACTCCCGACTCTAGTCTCCAGGTAGGTTCCACGAGCTTCAATAGTTATGAATACACAAGTAGAGACAAATCACACGATGAGTAAAGCACAAACTTCACACGATCGAAGAAAGTCAACACAATGATTGAGATAGAATCCACCACCAACATTCTGGCTCACCCAATAACCTCCGTCACCTTACATACCTGACCGGTTACCCGATTGAAGACGATAAACCTAGCTCAAACATGCTACTTATACTACACCTACTTCTCGAAAACCCGGCGGTCCCGTGGTCCGTAGGGCGAAAAGGTATTAAACCACTACTATCGTTGCCAGTATTAAGAAATTAGGAAAAAGTGTGTGTTCACGAAGAATTCAAAGGTTTCACTAAGCTCGGCAAGTCTCATGAAGTTTAGTTTTATATTGTTTGTCCCTAGGCTACCAGTCGGGTTGCCCGAGTCACCTTGTTTTTCTTTGGAGCCCGGTTGTGCAAGAATGAAGGAAGGTCTCAGCTAAAAATGGAAAGAAAAAAAAACTTCGAAAACTCCGGAAAACAAACGCCCGAACGCCCGAACGCCCGAACCCGAATGCCCGAACGCCCGAACGCCCGAACGCATGGGCGTTCGTCCCGTCCTGAACACCGGTTACCTTGTATATATATATTTATGATTTTAAATTTTATTTTCTTTTTTATTTTAAAATTGGTAAAAAATTACGATATGACCTTGAAACAAAGTTGTTCAGTTTATGTTTTTGCATCACATTTTGTTTTCCAGAGTTATGTCCCTCTTAATTTTGAAGTCATTCTATCCAGCCATATCAAAACTTGCTTACCCACTCACTAATTTGTTTTTTTTCTTATTACAGTTTTTGTTTTTCATTTATTTCGGGGCATGAAACAAATTATTATTTTTTCAAATTTTATTTCTAGATTCTCTATTATTTAAGATACACATATATAAATTTTCATAGCATTTGTCACAGCCAAAAAAAAAAAAAAAAAATGCCAAAGATTGTGGTGTGAAAAACGTGCTCGTCCACTCAATAATTTCATTCTCGTTTTATTTTTTTTCATTTTCGTTATTATTATTATTTTTTAGTATTTGATGTTTGTTTCAAATTTGGTAAAGAATTTGGATGTAATGTTGAGGCAAATGCCGTTTAGTTTATTCTTATGTATAACATTTTTTTTCAGACTTTTTGGAGTTCTTTTTTTTTTTTTTTTTTTTGGGTCCGCGTTCGATTGAACGGCCGAACGCGTCGAGAGGGGGTGCCGAGCGTTCGGGCATTCGGGTTTGGGCGTTCGGCCCATCCCGAATGCCGGCAACCTTGATTATATATGTATTTTTGAATTTTCAGCCCGGTCGGGGAGGTGGTCATTAACCACTATGGTAGCCTAGGCCCGTGTGTGAAAAAATAAATAAATATACTTTCTTTGTTGCCATGATGTCGGGTAGGGTAGTCTAGGAGGCCGTGCTGACAGTGGTCCTTCATAAATAAATAGCCACTATGGTAGTTTAGGCCCATGTGTGAAAAAAATAAAATAAAAATTTTCTTTGTTGCGATGATGTTGGGCAACGTAGTGTAGGAGGCCGTGCTGAGAGTCGTCCTCTATAGAATAAATCTTACAGTTAAAACTGTGAGATTTTGATTTTTTTTTTTTGTATAGAGGACTGGTGTCAACACGGCGTCTTAGATTACCCCGCTCGACATCATGGCAGCTAAAAAAGTTTTTTTTTTTTTTATTTTATTCACGCACGGGCATAGGCTACCATAGTGGTTATTTATTCTATAGAGGACCATTGAAAGCACGGCCTCCTAGATTACCCTGTCCGACATCATGTCGACAATTTTTTTTTTTTTTTTTTTTTTCATGCATGGGCCTAGGCTACCATAGTGGCTGATGACCACTTGCCCGACCGGGCTAATTATAGAGGAAGTGAGACTGATGGGTTTAACTCACTTTGCGAAATGGGAGAAGTCGGGCTCTTTCCGATCCTCGTACGTGATGCTAAAGCATAGGGACGTGGACCAGTACAGACCCATTTGTCCAACCTATAGTGAACCTATAGTGAGGACCGGAAAGGTTGTATCCAAAACATTGAACCATATGTTTTTTTGTTTGCCCAGAAACTGACACTTTAACTTACCGACTATCTCTTTACTGGCTGACAGACTTAAGTCTATAAATTCGAAGATTGACAAATTGCATGGGGATACACAGGTTTTTATTTTTTTCTATGACATTAAGGAAATGTTTAGTATTCTTCCGCATGAATATATTCTGGAAGTTGTCAATTGGTTGATCTCTGTGTACTTTCAGAAGGGGGAAAACTTTGTTCATGTAAATACACGAGGGAAGGGTGCCTCCTTTGGGATCATAAGAAAAGGAGATTACGGGAGAAAGCTTGATTTGAGTGATGTTCGGGGCTTTGTGCGCCTGAAACTCAAAAATACGTATACGCACGCAACTGGTGTGCTTTTGAGGCAGGTTATCGGAATACCTATGGGGTCAAGTAAAAGAAATGTTTAGTATTCTTCCGCATGAATGTATTCTGGAAGCTGTCAATTGGTTGATCTTTGTGTACTTTCAGAAGGGGGAGAACTTTGTTCATGTAAATACACGAGGGAAGAGTACCTCCTTTGGGATTATAAGAAGAGGAGATCACGGGAGAAAGCTTGATTTGAGCGATGTTCGGGGCTTTGTGCGCCTGAAACTCAAAAATACCTATACGCACGCAACTGGTGTGCTTTTGAGGCAGGATATCGGAATACCTATGGGGTCAAGTACGAGTCCCCTTTTGACATGTATCATGTATGCCTTTACTGAATTTCATTTTTTGTCAAGTTTAGGGAAGAAAAACTTTTTGGTGCAAGGTACCAGATTAGTTGATGACGACAGTCTTTTCATCGCTCACCTGTCTGGGTCTGATGTCACTGAGATTCGAAAGGCTTTCAAGCGATGCTATCCTGAGAACCTGACGCTCAAACATATGGATGGGGGGCATAACCAGTGCGATGTTTTTCAGTTGTCAGATTCGAGTCCGACAAACCTTTCCTTATGTTTGTAGTGTCTAGTTATCAAGGAAGGAACATTGTATCTGACCATATGATGTTTTGGAGATTCAAAACGGTCAGGCGTTTGAATGATGGGGCACTAAAAGCCAGAAAAACGCAATTATTAACATTCATTTAAATCGTATTTGATCATAATACTACAATCCGCAGTGAAATTTCAACGCGTGTTTTTACTTTGAAGCGGAAACTTTGGTTAAAAGGTTTCTCTAGGGAATTTTTCTTGAGGGTTTTGAAACGGTTTGCCTTTTGTAGTGATCATATTTGGAACCTGGCGGTGGAACTGATTGAATCCACTAT